TTAAGCAACACAGCATATCGACAGAATAGGAGACTGCATTGCCATGCGAATTAAACACACACACACACACACACATATACATTTATATAGTTTACTATTACAGAGAATATTGCTATTAGTATTCATAAAATGTACAAAAAAATGTTACAGAGTTCTTTAGAGTCACTCATAAAAAATTCATGCGATGAATGATGGAAAATTTTCTGTCATTTTATAAATCTACTTAATTTTTATCTTCACAACAGGTCATGAATCACTTATCAGTCATATAAGCAGATTACTTCGTATCTTTTAAAAAAATTGTTAGAGCCTCAACAACTTTTTCTTTCTTTGTTACCCTTACTTTTTCATAACCATTATCTTCTGCAAGCAAGACCCTGATAAATTATTTTTTCCCACGCTTATATGCATTTTGTAGAATAGACATCGACAAGCCATTCTCAGCAAGACGTTTTATCATCGCTCTTGAAAGAACATTGTCCGATGGTTGAAGGTCTCGCTTAAGCGAATTGCCAGTTTCTTTTTTTATTTCATTGTGTACCAAATCACTTGTTGACTCTGTTGAGGAAACCAATAATTAATTTAATATCAAAGCATCACAAATCTTTTCTAATGCTCAACAGTCGACAAATGCTTCATGAGCATCTTCCTTATCCCATCCTGTAATATATTTTGCAGCAAGATTTGGTTGATTCAAAGACGCCTCTTGCCTTGCAATTTTTGAGTAAGTCTTGAAAATTTTCTAAGCATCCGTTACTCCACAAACACAATTACAAAATTCTGTCAATAAATCAAAACTACAAAGCGCTCGATACATTTTAGGAAAATCAAAAGTAAAGCAATTGTGTCCAACCAAAATCAAAGGCTTTGTAAACTCTTGCAAGTACTTTATAAAATTTTCAAGAAAAGATTACTGGCTGACACTGGCAACTGGTTCAGTTTTCAAAAAAAGTTGGCCTCCGATCATTTTCAATCTAGTGATATCGGTTACTCGGGATAGAATTCCATTGACAGGATGAGCATTTTTGAGAAGTTATGAGAATTATTTCCAAAACATTTTTCTGAAATTTGCACAATTTCTGAAGACTTCTAAAAACCTGTAGTTTTAATATAAAAAATACGGTAACTGTACCTTTTGGGATTTCATTGAAAAATCGTGATCGAGTCTGATTAATTACTGTTGCAGTTTGCAGGAAGGCTACATCACATATGTATGACAAACCCTCTTTTTTGTTTTGACTTAAACGTTTACGTTATTTGCTTACTTAATGGCCAACCTGCGTTTTTTGAAAGGAATAGTTTTTTTAAGAATAGCACGTCTCCATCTCCAGTAATCTTTTTTGTTTCTTATTTGGTCTGTCCAATTTTCTGAATGAAAATTCAATTTCTCATAAGATTTCACTACATATTTTGTTCCCAGATTAATTTCAGCAGCAGTGGCATAAATTCTATAATGATGATTGGATGTGCCACCATAAAATTTACTTTTAGGCGCCTTGCTGGTAACAATGTGATTGAAGTTTTCATAAGCTTGTGACGAGCCTCCTGATGATAAAGAAGCTGCGTTTGCAGCAAAGCGACCAAAAAGTTCATTCAAATCTATTCTGAGATCTTTTCCTTGTAAATCTTCTCCTTTCGGTAATCCTCTGTGCTTATAATTATATGGATCTGCTTTATAACCGCACCACTCTCCAGATAAAGCATGAGAGCCAAAAGCATGGCTTACAACACTTATAATTGCACTGGCAGTGACAAATGGATTGTTGCAGTACTGTGATAGAGCATAACTAAAGCATTTCTTTAAATAGTCAATGACACTACCATCAAATCAATACTTTGATTTTAATTGACACAAAAAATTATGACGGCTTTTAATAGTGCGATTTTTATCAAACCATTTTGCGATTTCATGATTAGAATTTTCTCTTACTTGAGAAATACTTGAATTATCACCATCACCAATAAACATATCAATTTGAACATTAGCTTTAGCAAGCAAAGTATTATTATTGGACATGAGATCAACAGCAACTGAAGACTCTACTTTTTGCTGTTCCATCAAAAACACCCTGACAGCTATGGAAGTCATTACTGTGTCCTCTTTCACATTGGAAGCATTTTCTCATTTTTGTTGAAAAGCCAATGAGTTTTCGAGATCGAAATCCAAAAAGGGAGCCATGTCCTGTGAAGCTGTCGTATGCCCTTCCTGTACCTGTGGTGCCGTATCCCATATTAAAACCAGCGGCAATACCTATGCATTCTTCACTATTCTCAGAAAGGTGTTGACGAAACCTTGAAAGAACAATAATAATATTGTTAAACAGTTGTGGATTCTTTGATTGTAAACTTTAATACTTTTTATTGCATAATACTCATTGATCAATTATAAACTTCACTAACAATAGAAAAAAATCATTTTTAAATTTATACTTACAGCTTATGCTAACGTATAATTCATTATGTTGTAGCAGAAGAAAATATTTAAAAAAAGTTTAAAATCCAACCGTAACAACTTCAATGTTACAGACAAAAAAATTAATTAACAACATGATCAAATTCAAATCATATAGGATCTATAAAAGTGAAAAAATAAGTATGCATGAAAATAATCTCTTATTTTTTTAAATAAATTAAAACAATCCTATGTTGCCTACTTAAGTCCCGCTTACGGTGTTTTCCATTTTCCCTTACAAATTATCTGTCACGGAATGCTTAGCTTTTGCTGCTTGGAGCGTGAGGTGTAAGGCAGCTTTAATTTTTCTTTGGGCACACTTTTTTTTAAGATACAAACCACATTTACTTCGTAGAAGATTCATGTTTTACACAAAAATCATAGAACTTATAGGTTGCACGGTATGTGTACACTTGTCAGTTTGTCACTATAATCACAAGGATGCATATGTATTTATGTATGCGTGTGTATGTGTGTGTGTATACATAGCATAACTACAGGGGGAATCTCTAGGGGTCTATACGAGACCGCTGATCGATAGTGTTGCAATATTTCCATTGCGACAAACTACACTTGTCAGTTGAACAATGTTTAAACGTTTTTAATTAATCGTTAATAAATATAATTCATTTGCCATAAGTGTTTACATTCATCGATAAATATTTCATGAATTTAGACCTTGAATTCATAATTATCTAAGCGACTTTAAATTAACCTCGGATTTGACTACCTCAGTCCACGGATTTTCTACCTTAAGAAGGTGTTGTTTATTTCGGTCAAGAAGATGCTTAATTTGCGACCAACTACTATGATTAAGAGTTCCATTTTATTTGCCAGCAATAAATCTTTTTTTTATTCGATATTTTTCTGAAGATATTTCTTTCTTTGTGCGAAGCTGATTTCATCAGCTCTATTTTGGTGCCAAAGCCCGGGAATTTTAATTACATCGGAAAATCGCGCAAGAGAAAACATGGAAAAAAAGGCCAGCAGTTCTAAAAAATGCTCAAACAAGGAAACAGCGAGAAATCCACCCACAGCGACAGCAGTAGCAGCAGCAACGGTGGCATCTGCATCGAGACAAGTTGATGTGTCTTGGCCAGAACAAGCAGCTCAGACATCACGGGTGATCCTTCTCTCATAAACAGCTCTGACGACAATCGCCCACAGTTGACGATGACGACAAGTCGCCAACACCACACCCCCCAGCCCTGGCTCGTACATGACCTTCTGTAACAGGCCGGATGGCTATCTCCTTGACTTAGTAATTAGGATCGAAAACCTAGCAGTCACACCATCTGTTAACGAGTTTTTAAACAGTGAGAGAAGGCTTTTTGGCAGACTCAAAACTCAATTAGTGTTCCCAAGTCTAATGAACGTATTCTTTTTTAAGATTAATTTATTGTTGGAACAGTGTATGTAATAGGTAGGTTAAATTAAAACTGTATTTTGAACGGCCGTGTAACATTGTTGATAAAGCAACTTACTTGCCAGTTTCTATTCCTCACAAATTTTGTCAGATTTACACTGGTATACACACTTAATAGGGACTGTGTAGTTAATTTATGAAAATACATATTATGTTATATCTTTCTGTTGCAAAACAACACAGCTGTCTCAGTATACTTGCATTTTTTACTTAATCCAACCTTGAAAGTATATGTCATGGGCAAAATTTTATTACTCTTATGAGTTCCTCAAACAATTATTAGAGGCTGTAATACCAGCTGTTTCTTAACAAAATCTTGCAATATTGAAATAAGCCTTTATTGTTCACTGACAAGTGTAATTTGTATTTTTAAAAATAAACTACACAGTCCCTATTAAGTGTACACTAGTGTAAGTATTACAAAATTTGTGAGTAATAAAAACTGGTTAGTCAGTTACTTTGTCAGCAATGTTACAGTGCTATTCAAGATACTTGTAATTAACCTATCTATTACATACACTGTCAAAATAGTTAACTAATCTTGATAAAGAATAAATTCATTACACTTGGGAGCACTGATTGAGTTTTCAGCCTGCCAAAAAGCCTTCTCTCGCTGATTGTAAACTCACCAATAGATGGTGCAACCAACAGGTTACTGATCCTAATTCTACTAAGCAGCAGTGCGTTCGTGGACGCCTTAACTTTGTCTTTTGATCCTGCAAAGCGGCAGTGCGTTCATGCCTTTCGAAATCGTGAACTTTAAAGTTGCAATTTCAGAGTTAAAACAACCTTTGAAATTTTTTTAAATATTTATTTTAATCTACGCATAAAAATCTGTGATGAATTACCTTAATATTGTATATTTTTTTTTAGTTATTTAGAAAAAAAAATGATTTTTGACGTAGAGGTAAGAATTCCAATATTGTGACCATCACTGATGGCCATAAATCAGGTCAAAAAGTCTAAAAAACTTAGGTAATTGTTTTTTTAATGAGCACTATTGATTAAGCAAACAGTGTAAATAATGTATCAGTTAGCGTGTTAGCGTTAAATAGTAGTGTTAATGAAACAAATAATAACCTAAAGATGTTATATAAGCACAATACATTGTCAAACTAATAGGTGGATACGCAACTGTTGGAGCGGCTGCATTCTCTGGTGCCGTTACCCACACAATATCAGTTAGCGTGATTATATTTGAGATGACAGGCCAGATTACGCACATCGTGCCGATGATGATAGCTGTGCTAATCAGCAACGCCGTTGCAGCGTTACTCCAGCCGAGCATATACGACAGCATTATACTCATTAAAAAGCTGCCTTATTTGCCAGATTTGCTACCCTCTGGCTCAGGTTTGTATTTTATTCATTACTTTCCAGTAAGTATTGTTGCAAAATAATAAACCACGAGCCTGAACTGAATGTGTATAAGCTGTATTAGTTTGCTGAAATAGAAAAAAAAAACTAATTTATTTAAACTAAAATTAAATAGTTTTGCTGTCTAAATTAACTTTGGAAACACTAAACAAAAGTTTATTTTGTATTTAACCTCATGAAATACTATTCAAAGACCTACGATATTTCAAACCTCATTCTAATTAAATAATTTTGTAAATATGAAAGTAACTTCTGTCTGTACCTCCAATGCAACAGTACGACGACCTCCCTCCCTTTTATTTTGCAATAAAAATTTCCCATTTTTCCTGGATTCAAAAATCGCGTTGACTGTTTAATAGGAATTATAGGAAAAAATTTGTTATTCTTCACACAGGAGCGGACTGACCATTTAAGCTTATCGGTGTCATCACCGATGGGTCACGATGTCAAAGGGCTGATCCAGGCTAACACTCTATATGCATTTGTCAAAAGCTAGCTTAGTTAGCTAATTTTAGTCAGAGCTTGTATTTTTCTGGGAATATTTCTGGTACGTCCATAGACAACAAAGTTTTGATATGCAGTAGCTTAAAAATCATAGAGTATAATATGTTTCTTTGAGCTCTATTGCCTCATCTTTTAGGCTAAATATTTTAAAAAATACAAAATCTACGTTTAGAAATGAAATTCTTAAAGAGAAAATATTCTTCTAGAAGGAAGTGTTTTAAAGTTTGTGAAGAACAATTTCTTGTCAATATGGCCGAAACTTGTCAAAAAAAGGATAAGAACTATACTGAAAATAAGCTAAGCCCATTAGTTATGAATAGTGCCAAATGTTACTTAACTTCGAAGATTAATGGAACTCCAACTGTACCGCTGCGACAACATGACCAATCGTATATTGTTGTCTAAAAACATTTAGTTTAAACATACAACAACATTTAACAAAATAAAATGTTGACAACTCTTTCCGTTTATAGTCAGACCTATAATCTTTTGTCCTCTATCCTCTAAAACCTTAAAAATGCTCAACATTTAATTAAAAATAAAATGTTGACTATTCTTTTTATTTATGGTCAGACCTATAATCTTTTGTCCTTTATCTTCTCGAACTATAAAAATGCTTACCCAGGCTCCTCTACAAATCAACGGAACAAAGTCACTGTTAACTGTAACCGTATAAGAGTGCCTGTACATGGGATATCTGCATTCAGCAGATTGGAAAACTCCCTTCCAATACAGCTCCCTAAAGTGAGAGAGAGGTTCGATTACGTGACCATATATGACCTCTTTGGTCACGTGATCAGATCCCTCTCTCACTCTAGTGGGTTTTAATGAAAGCGAGTCTGCCAGTCTCCAGAAGACATGTATTCCATTAACAGGCACTCTTAGGCATGGGCAGTTAGACACCCTGTGACAGTGTCTTATGCGAGTCCCATATGTACGTCTCTACGCGCACGCTTTATAGAATTAAAAACATGTATTTAAAAATGGAAGAGTTGGTATGTGCTCACTCAAATGGTTTGATAGCCCTTACAAAAAAAGTAAATTAAAATTCACAAATTTTTTGGCCTGTTAAGGACCACTTCAGTACAGTCAATCAAAACTGGAAAGTGTTGTTTTTAATACATGATGGTACTTTATTCAAGAAAGTTCTGACAAAAAATAAAAAAAAGGTTAGGTCAAATCCACCCACAGCGACAGCAGTAGCAGCAGCAACGGTGGCATCTGCATCGAGACAAGTTGATGTGTCTTGGCCAGAACAAGCAGCTCAGACATATAGGGTATTGTGCGGGTCACTTATTAAATTTCATTCAACGTTATTATTTAAAAGTTTGTCATTAGATTTTTTTTTTTTATTTGCTTATTCTATTTTAAGTAAGCTTACTTTCAGCTAGGAGACATTCTGGATTTTTTTCAAAAGTTTTGATTCATTTTAATGGTAGTTCGAATACAATTCAATTTCTGATTCTATAAAAGCCAGTGTTGAGTTTTAAAACCTAATGGTTTTTTTAACAATACGTCTGATTATAAATGTAAAAAAATATTACAAGCACATACGATTTTATTAAAAAGAAGGTCATTATGTTTCAGCACTGTCTTATTATTTTTATAATTTTTGGAACCTCCTTAATACTTTCTTCTGACTTGACCAATAGATAGCACATTTTAAACACATTTATTTATCTTTAATCAACCGAAAAATTATGAAATGATTAATTTTTATCGGGCGCATATTTTTTTTTTATTTGGGAAGCGTGAAAGGGGTATATGCCTACGAGAAAAGGAATGGATTTGCGTGGAAATTTTCATATAGGCGCACATTTTGGAGACGCGTCAAAAATGTATACTGAATCTGCGCCTACGAAGAGAGCAGAAAGGAGTGAATATGTTGAGTATAGCTACAGTTGAGCGTATAGCCAAGTGAAAGGAAGTGACGACTGACGGATCTTTTTTGCTCAACCTTTTTTGTTGAACATGGAAACTTTATTGATAACTTTGCTATTATAACCATTTTTTTAATTTTGTTATTGTTTTCGTCATTGTTATTTTTATAATGTTACTATTGTAATATTATTATTATTATTATTCTCATTATTTTTAATACTTCTATTTAAAACTAATAGAGCAACTTAGAACAAACATACGTAGAATACCTTGACACTGCCAATGAGTTGATTAAAATTTGTAAGTAAAGATATATTCAGTAATTTAATAATAAGAAATAGCTTGAACATTAATTTCGAATTATCTTATCTTCATTTTCCAAAGTGTGGGAGAAATTTTAGCTTCACAAAACTCGAAGACGTTCTTTAGCACTCAAAAAAGTTTTCCTCATAATTTAAAACAATGCTCTTGCAATTATTTTTATTACATAACTTCTTTTTCCATCACCTCTGACAGTAGAGTTTGTTGTTTACGTCCACTTAGTAAGACGTAAAGCAACAAACATCCAGCCGCAGGATTTCATTGCGTCATTTGAGTGAAGCGCTTCTACGAGGTCCATCCTCTTAAATGCACACTGAATATCTATCTACATTTATGAGATCTATAACGAATTTTTTCATCTACATACATATGATGGCCAAATACTGTTTTTTTTTTACGGCCAGACACATGTGCGCATCGTCTATTCAGTGCCTTCTGCTAACCGCCTTTGTCGCTGCGTCAAGTCAGTTCACGCCTATATTAACTATAGCATGTCCCGGTTTTTACATTGTCTTACTTATTGTTTATCGTATGATCTGTTTCTCGTCTCTTATGTACGTGTACTCAAAATTACCACTACGTGCTTTTTTTACAAACTTTATTTAAAGTTCAGAGTTACTTGTAGGTAATCGTGAGTAAATTTTCATGGCTTTTGGATTGCTACATAAAAACTCTCAAGCTCTGTATGAAAAAGCCCATACTTAATACATGGACTGGAAAACCAACAATAAAGTATCTTTTGATGAAAATTTTTTTTCAGTTTACAATGAAGAACTATAAAAAAAATATTTATTTTTTTATTGCATTTCGTATTAAATTATGCATACGTTTTTTGTGGTCGATCGGTCGGTTCAATTTCTTAAGAAAGTATTTCTATATTTACTTTGTACACAGATATATATGCTGAAAGAATCAGAACGACTGAAAGATCAATCACGGAAAAAACGTATTCATTATTGGGCACGTTTGATTATCCATCGTTCGTTCGTTCGCACTCCATCAGGTCCATGATGTATAGGATCAATGCCGAAGGAATGTACGATTATATAAAGGTACATGTTTTTAGACTATAGTTAATTCCCGTGTTAAGACTACTTGTTTCAGTGCATTTTTTTACTGATACGACTGCTTTTTAAGTGGAACAACAGCCTGTTATCGAGAAAAGTATTGCATTTTAACATCTTTGCATTACTTTAAGATAATGTGCTTTACGCAGTGTCACCAGCTCACACATTTTGTGCCTTATTTTGTAGGTTAATGGTTGTGTACGTGCACATGTTGTAAGTGTTAATTAGTGGTATAGGGTGGACACTACACAGTAAATTACTAAGTGAATTAACGAAGAAAGGTCATTTGTGGTAAAAGGATCCTTTTTGACAATTATCTTAGCTTGGCAAATTTTGAAATAAACGGACACAGTCACGTTTGAAGAGAGAAAATATGATCCCCCAAGACTAAAGTAATAACCTTTAACATCACTTGTTCCTTAGAAGTATCTCTGTAATTATTTATGAATGTCTATTGATATTTTAGAGGAATGAGCTTATAATTTATCTTATGTATTCAACATTATTTCTTACTAAGATCTAGAAATATTCTTGGACCCCACATAATATACATGCGTCATGTGCCCTGCACACTCATAAGACAAGTATGCATATCAGCTTGATACGCTTTGGGTGGCTGGCTGACAACTTCTTTCCTTCTTTATTAAGATTCCGTTACTTATGTGATTGAAAAAGTGAAATGCTTCGTGTCAAAGATATAAATACTGATTTCTTTCTTTTTAACAAAAAAATTTTTATTTTAGAATCTTTTTTTAAATTTATTTTATTAAATTTACAGGAAACTATTACCTTTATACCGGCTTAAAAAATAATTCAAAGTATAACAATATAAAAACCAACAAATAAACTTAAATAATACATAAATTTTTGTGTATCTGTTGCAGTAAGTAATCTCATTCTCAACATTATTAAGACCACTGCACGAGGCTCTTGGGGTTTGGGAGAGATGTTTGGAAAAAAAAAGAAAAATCACTGCGCACGCTAATAGTATACAATAGTTTTTATTAGAAACGGGTGCTGTTGTAATCTTTTCCACCTTTTATCATCTTTCATAAGACTGTCGTGTGTGTGCTTACTGGCCAACGGCTAGCGATCAACTGACGAGCCCGATGCGCAGCATTGAGCGCGTACATACATAGTACTTACACATGTCTGTATATAGCGCTCTAAATCAACTCCTATTTTGGCACTCCCTTTAGTTCT